AGGGTTAACCGTCTTAGCCTTAACACCTATAGATATGCATACACTCTTTCGTGTGATGTATTACAGTTGGTTTGAGAACGAGGGTGCAACAGAGAAATAAGTATGCTCTCAAGTGTCTGCAAGTACAAAAGTGAATTTCAGCATGCAGAAGTGATGAATTTGACACAGTAAAGAATTTCAAAAATTGTGCTGAAAAATAGCTAACAACACTATAACAATAATACTTTGTAATGTGTTCAGCAAGATTACAGAGGTCCGACCGTGTTATAGTGGACACCGCTACACTGATCCAACTTCCTTTTAAAGACCTCAATGGAATCGGGTATAACCTCATCCAGGAGCAGAACGTTACAAGCTTCGATCGTTCTGCTGTTTCTAAGGTTGACGGTTGCTAACTCGCAGAAGTCACCAGGTGCAAGGCAGCAGTCCTGACCGCGCAGGACACGGGATGTTTGTATCCGGTAACCTCGTAGCTGCCAGTAACTCAGAAGGAATAGATCAATATTAGACAAGCGTTCTATAAAGTACTTAGCTCTGTTAGGTCACATGTTTGGTTGAATCTTTTCGATGGTGCTGAGGTCTTGCGTGGCCCATAGTCACCAAGTTTATATAGCGAGCTCCAGTTCCGACAACGTAGAGGCTCGAAAGACTTTATCGAACCAGTGTTCATCAAAGGCAGATAAAGTCCGCTGGACAAGGTACAGGTTTGGCACCGCCGACTTGGCTACTTTTGAACAGTGCAGCCAGGGTTTAAGCAAGGTTGTGATCTACATTCCGAAGTCCTTCTGCGCGTCCACTTCCTGTAGTACTATACCATTCGAGCAGTAAACCATGAGATTCTGGGAGTTCGGTCGGCCGAGTCGTAAAACATTGTACTTGTTTTATGAAACGGTAAAACAGCAGTCCTTCGACCAATGTTAGAGTCCACTTGCGTTCGCCTGCAAATGTTCTTTGTCGGCTGCATTGTACTTGCACAAACGTAGGTGACAGTCCTGGATTAGCAATGCAGTAATCGAAGAGGAGCAAGCCAAATACTCAACAATCCTCGGAGAAGCGCTGACAAATGATCTTCGTCATACAATATCTTTCAACGCCAGACGCATTCGCGATGTACGTGACACCAAACTGACGCAGAAATTTGCCACATTGAGCGAAAAGAATGCCA